ACACACACACGCACACACACGCCTCCCTTCCTCAATGCTCAAATGAAAACTCCGGCAGTCTGGTGAACTTTTCCTGAGTGACAGGATCCTCTCGGGCTGTGGGCTGACACTTTGATTAAGTCGTGGGATTCATTACAAGTCTGCAGCTATGGGACCTTTGTAGCTATGTTATATAAAATATTACCCAGTCATTCATTTTCAACTTTTACTACTACGTTTCTGAGTCTTGCGCGATGGAGCCTGGAGCGGGACGAGGAGACGGGATCCTCCATGCGCTTTGGGGACCGAGGTTGGCTCTTTTACATTTTCCTTTTGTGGTTTCTTTTCTTTCTTCCTTCACTGGTCTAGTTGTTAATTTCCTCCGAAGCAGTTTGACCGAGGAGTTTGCTGTTTTACCGTGCAACTGCTCTGATGCAGCCGTGAGTGAGCGCGTTTTTACGCATCTCTCTCACCAGACAGTGTCTTAAATTAACAGTTGATCCGCTGCTGAAATATATATATAAATATATTATATAGATATGTCATAATTTAATGCTTCATAACGTTATTAAGATTACAATATAACATATTATAGTATGATCTTCCTTTAAAATGAGTCTTTATTGTTCCTATATCCTCAATAACGTGTATTTTCTCATTTGTTAACAATTAGGTCATATTTTATGAACAATAAAAATTACTGTGACATTTCGTCAGGGGTCTTGCTTGAAGTGGTCACATGGTTATATACATTGACAAATTGGGGTGACTAATTTTAGACTGTATAACCAGGTTGTAAAATGCCCAGAAATGACTTGCGCCAGGCCAGAGGCGGGATTTCATTGCCAGTAATTGCATTCTAACTCAGCTTAAAGAATACATTTATAAACGGATTAGTGGCTGACGAGGAATGTTTCAATATTGGCCCCTGAACCGTGCTTTAGCCTACATCTGGCAGCGCCCGTGGTTACCCTACTCTAATCTTAAAAGAGAAACACAGAGATTGACAGTACAATGAACAGGCTTTACTCCATTTTTCTAAATAAGTAGTTTTGTGGTAAAGGCCATGTAAAACTCAGCGCCCAGAGGCCTGTCACACATTGACTGAAATATTCTGGATAGTTATAAAAAATAGCTTTAATAAATTAGAAAAGAAAAATGAAACTGGGACTCAAAGAGAGGCCCAGGGGCAAGTGTGCAAGTGAAAGCTATGCTTCATACAGGTTAGGCCCGCCCTACATTTAAGTAAGATATCCAAGGCTACAGGTAGCTCAGGTAGGCCTATTACTTGCGGTTTAGCCTTCAGGACTTCAAAAGACACTCCTCATGACTATTCTGAACTGTCAAAACATGTCCATAAAACCGAACTCAGCCTGGGGAAGGGCCCTGCTCTTGTTGCTTACACAGTGACCCCCATGGCTGGATGTTGGCCGACCTTTGTTGACCTCTGCAGGGTGGCGGGTTTTCTCCCAAACTAAAACCCACGGAGGCTAGTTTTTGAAAAACTGGCGGAAATGCCTCTCTCTGTCGGCTTTTCCTGCAGGAAGCAGCAGAACTGTGATCTAAACTTGGAAAGTGACGAAATTAAGGACATGGACAGGAACTCCAGACATTTCCCAGATATGCTGCCCAGTGGGCTTCATTGTTCTGTTGACACCATTAATTTCTGAAAATGGGTCACTGTGGGTTTCAATTAATAGCGTACACCTAGGAAATCTTTCAAATGTATCATGTTGGTTGGATTGCCATGTAGTTTAGCTTTTTACCACATACTTCCCACACTGTTCTGTTTTGATTGCTCTTTCTATCCCAGAGCCAAATCTTCGTCATTCTACAGACAATGACGAGACGTGTTGTCTAATAACATGCTACTCATGTAAACACTCACCTGTCTGCCAGTTTGTATCGATACAAGGGGTCATACGTTGTCTCACCAACACGTAGCTGAGTCACTGCAGCATTAACAACGAACAGACTCTTGAGTCTGTACTAGTTACAGCTCAGAGTATCAGGTGATACCATGCCACATAATTAAACCTGCAACATGTCAGTGCAACAAAGGTAGCCTCATAAAAATGCCTGTGGCAAGAGCGACAAACAGTAGTGATAAGTTTACGTCTTCAGTCTCAGTTGCCTTTAATTACCATGCTGACTGTAGATTATGTGGCCCTCTGTGAGACTGCAAACGGGTTGGTATATTGCAACATTTTCTTTTGTTTTGCTCTGTCTTTCGCCTTGTGCACAGATGTGTGATCCTGTGTCGGCTGGTTTAACTCAACGATAACAGAGTGCTAGTGGAAATTTAGGATAAGCAGAAACACACAGGCTTCCTGTCGCACAGGCAGAGTCCTAGTATCTTTGTTTTGTGGTTTATTTGGGAATTTTTTTCTAGTTTCATCCTAACCTTAGTGTCTACCGGGTTTATTTGTGCTTATGATCTAAAGCTTTTTCCTTGGTGTAATATCAGTGTAGTGCAAATTCACATTTATGTTCCCATCTCTCCTCCTCTCAGACGTTTCTGTCAGAGCACCACACTGTGGTGGCTACAAGCCTTACAACTAGTTAGTGAATTATAGACTTGGAAATAGAAGCAGGAATAAACATAAAATGTGTCTCACTGGTCTCCAGTGATCTCTGTTTTGGAGATCAGTGGGTGCTCTCACTTTTGAGATGTAGGTGCAGTGTTATGGGTTTGCCTTCTGACTGGTTATAGGTCAATTTTTACAAAGAGTAAAATCATATCTAATAAAATACGTCATGTCATCTGTTTGTTCATCAGGATGTGTGTGTGAAATTGGACAGACTGAGGTCAGTCATGGAGCCTGAGCTGAACTGCAGCTCCCAGTGTGATTCCCCACTCTGCTTCATCCACTCAGGAGTCAACAGGCAGGAGGGCCTCAATATTCTGCAGAGACTATGTGGCCTCAGCACGGTAATCACACACAAACACAGACACAAACACAGACCCAAATGCTCTAAATATGCAAATCCAACAATTGCAGCCTATATATATAAAAATAAATATATAATAGGTTAAAAGATAAAACCTATATAGTATAGTCTATATTCTACATCTAGACATTTAAATTGAATATGTAGTCTGTTATTTTTTATACCGTATGATTTGCATTCAAGAATTACTTTTAAAGTTATTGGTTGCTTTTTTTGTTTGTCAACCCACTTACTGCCATTGCTGAACTTGGTCCTATGTCTTAGAGTTTAGTGGATTTCTGTTTTGCATCTCAGAAAACACCCATGCAAATACAATGTTTTTTTTGTTTACCACTTGAGAAAGCAGTTCAATAGTAGAGAACTTTAAAGGTAATGCTGGTGGACTAGTGAAGCTATGTTTAGTATCGTCTCAGTCCCTGGTGCCTTTAAGAGAAGAGGGGCGGGCACAAGAAAGTCTAATGAGACTTCCCAAATAGAAACTAAAGTAGTAGAGACACTGTGTCAGGGAACACAAACACTCTCCTACAGACTCATTTACTCTACATGCTACACCACAAAGAAGCGAGGTGAGTTTTCTCTTACATTTATTTCATGCTTTATGATGTTAATTTATGCATGCATCAGTCTAAAAGTTCAGAATTATTACTTAAGGGGAAAGGCACAGTGTGTGGCACTGTGAATGCTTTGTTATGGTAATAGTTATGTGACAATGAGTGTATTTTAATATTCTTTTTTAATTTATTTGAATTTCCTAACAGTTCCTTTTCATTATTTATTGTCTGTTGAACTCTGTAGGCATGACAACTGTTAAGCTAAAATTAAATATCCTGTGAAATGTAATACCATGCATTTGTTACTATTTGTGGACACAGATAGCTCACCAGGCACAACTGTTTCTAAACCTAATGGTACAGTGTAAAGAAAAGAAATACAAGGGTCGAAGCCAATTTATTCTATAAAATCCCACCTGATTTTCTTTCTGAATGTGTTCCCAGATATGGCTACCACTGGCAGTGTGCTGTCTGAGGAGCAGCTTCTGTGCCCCATCTGTCTGGATTTGTTCAACCAACCAGTCTCCACTCCTTGTGGGCACAACTTTTGCAAGGACTGCATACAAGGATACTGGCAGAGTGCTAATCTGTCACAGTGCCCCATGTGCAAGCACAAATTCTACAGGAGGCCTGAGCTCAAAGTTAATACTTTCATATCTGAGGTGGCGTCTCAGTTCAAGAAGTCATTGGAAAAGAAAGAAGCAAATTTGGGGCATAAAGGAGAAGTTTCATGTGATGTGTGTGTTGGAAAAAGAGTCAAGGCTCTTAAATCCTGTCTTGACTGTTTGGCCTCCTTCTGTGAGACTCACCTGGAGCCTCATCATGTTCTAGGCACCTTCAAGAAACACCACTTGATCAATCCCATGATGAACATGCATGACAGAGTGTGTAAGAAGCACGAGAAACTCCTGGATCTATTCTGTAACACTGACCAGACGTATGTGTGTCAGATCTGCATTAAGAAAGACCACAGTGCTCATCACACTGTACCCATAGAGGATGAGAGCAGAGACAGGAGAGCTCGTATAACAAGGATGAATGCAGAGGTGGAAGATATGATCCGTGGCCGACTGCAGAAAATTAGCGAAATCAATCGAACCGTTGAGCTTAGCAGAGGAAACACAAAAATAGAGATGGAGGAGAGTTTGCAAGTCTTTAACAAACTGCTCCACTTTATCCAGAGAGGCAAAGCCGAATTGGTGGAGGTGATCGGGGAAAAGCAGAGGCAAGTTGAAAGCAAGGCCAGCGGACTCATCGTGGAGTTGGAGCGGGAAATTGACAAGCTGAGGCGGAGAAATGCTGAACTGGAACAGCTCTCACACTCCGAAGATGACCTCTACCTTCTCCGGAGCTTTCCAGCTTTCTCGTCACTGCCAGCCACCAAAGACTGGTCTGACACCTGCGTGGAGAGTGCTGTATACGTGGGCACGGTGAGGAGAGCAATTAGGAGAACAGCGTGTCAGTTGGAGGAGACAGTAACGGCTGAGGTGAAGAGGCTATGTGAGACCGAGTTTCAGAGGGCTCGGCAGTATGCTGTAGATGTGACTCTGGACCCTGATACAGCTCATCCCAAACTGGTGCTGTCTGAAAACAAGAAACAGGTCTATCATGGCGATATAGCACTAAGCCTCCCTGACAACCCAGAGAGATTCTACCCCGGTATCAGCGTTTTGGGAAAGGAGGGTTTCTCCTCTGGCAGGTTCTACTATGAGGTCCAGGTGAAAGGGAAGACAGAGTGGGATATTGGTGTTGGTCTTGAGTCCGCCAACAGAAAAGGAGGGAATATATTAAACCCGGAAAGAGGCTACTGGGCCCTGGGGATGAGAAAGAACAAGAGCTACTGGGCCCTCAGCAGCACTCCTATCTGTGTGCCTCTGGTGGAAAAGCCCCAGCGAGTCGGGGTGTATGTGGATCTGGAGTGGGGGCAGGTTTCTTTTTATAACGTGGATGCTGCCTCTCATATCTATTCATTCACTGGATACTCATTCAATGAAAGACTTTTCCCGTACTTTAACCCCCGGCGTAATCATTGCGGGGTCAACTCTGCTCCTGTTATCATCTTGCCTGTCTAAAATCTGACAGATTTCCTGTTGCTTGAACTATTTTATCATTTTATATTTTCCAGTTAAAGGTAGCAAAGGTCTAGCAGGATGTTTGTTGCTCTGTTTGCTTGAATAAAGTTTGTTTAATCATCTGTAACCCGTGTACTTGGTTTTTTTTTTGGAGAGTTTAGTACACATAAAATTGAATAATGCACATTTGTATGAGCTACATCTGTACTATTTTAAGCTTGATTTTAAGGGGTTTGCATGTGCATGTGTGTGTGCAGATAGCGGTGGAGCTCCCTACGCGGTCTCTCTCGCCGGTGTTAAGCGCTGTGGTGTGGACGCTGCTCTCCTGTGGCATCCTGCTGGCTTTCTGCTTCCTCCTCTTCACCCTACGCTTCAAAAACAACAGGTAGACTACAAAGTTTAACACACACGGAAAAATTCAAGATATATTTACAGAAATGAATTGATCAGTTGTTTGCATGTATTGTACTCTCAGGATAGTGAAGATGTCCAGTCCCAACCTGAATGTCCTGACTCTCTTTGGAAGTGTCCTCACCTACAGCAGTGCCTTCCTATTTGCCGTCGGCGAACAAACACACTCACAAGGTGGAGCGTCTACAGCTGTGCTACAAGTAAGCCCCACAGTCTCCCTTAGTGCTCCATTATATTGTTGAATAAATCAGTGTTAGATAATTATGTGGTTCTCTCTCCTACAGGCTCGGATGTGGACTCTGTGTGTCGGTAGTACCCTGGTGTTTGGCCCAATTTTGGGGAAGACATGGAGACTGTACAGAGTGTTCACCCAGCGAGTGCCTGACAAGAGAGTGGTAAGCACGCTCCACCAGCATTAACAACCTTGTTTTGTGTTTATTTTTGTTATCCAGTCGCTCCAGGATGCATTAATTACATTCTAAATAGGTTATCAGAGGCTAGTTTTACATGTTTGTATGATGAACTGTCTTAAATTGCAGCTGGTATTTTACACAGAATTGTTTTGAGATGGATAATATTTGAGTAAAAACAGCAGATGATGATGCATGACAGACATTTTCAGGCCAAGGGATGAGATCTCTTTTTTTATTGCTGATTTTCAAAGCTTCCTTAGTCGACATGTATTATGCATAGTTCCTAAATGAAAATTTAATTATCCTTTACTTACATTTTGGTCTTGGTTGTTTGTGCAGTGAGCAAGACATCTAGAAATAATGCAATAAAGAAAATAACAAAGAAAGAAATTTCAGTTGAATTTTCAGTTAAGGATTTATGGACATTTTTGTTATAACCTCACTAACTAGTGCTGTTATATAAAAGAATATGATCCAAATGCAATGTCTCTTTATGAATTTTGAGGATTTACAAATTTAGATGATTGTTAAGTCTTCATTAATGCTGTTTGTGAGCTTTTTAGTTTGTTGTATAACTTCCTTTTATGTATCACTTCAAAAAGAGACTTCCAGTATCCCCCAACTGTTGTCTGGCTAATGTAACACAGATACATGATCATTTTGTAACTGTATGACTTTGATGTGATTGGTGACTTTCTGTCTCAGATCATCCGAGACATCCAGCTGATGGGCATGGTGGCTCTTTTGATCCTGGTGGACATGCTGGTTCTCACCGCCTGGAACCTCTCAGACCCCATCAGGTGTACAAGATCTGTCGGTGCTGTTGTCAAGGTAGAATTAAATAGTGATTTTGTTTTTGTCTGAAAAGCAAGTTGTAAAACAAGTTAAGACTTTGTTTGATTACAGAACAATGTCAGGATTATGACACATACCACTTGTATGATATTGCAAGCAAGTTGGATTTTGTGACTGCAAAAGCACACACTCCCTCATTCTCCTACATAATGTAATTAATTATAGATAAGTTGGTGGCATAGCAAACTTTATTCTGGTTTCACCTTACTGATACTAGAGGATTTTTCCTGATCTAGGTGGTGGAGAGAGACATTTCCTACTCTTTGACTCAGCTGGACACCTGTGCGTCTGTATACTCGGATCTGTGGGTTATCATCATTGCTGTTCAGAAGGTAAGTAACCTTTCTTCTATTGAAATGTAGAACGACTGCTTTCATGGTTATGGTGATATGATTGGTTGATTTACATTTTATATAATATTTCCTCTTTATGCAGAAGTACTTCTAGTACTAGTTTCAACATAGAAATAATATAATAAAATATAATTATTATATTTGACAGTGACCTTGTATTTGAATATGTAACACAAGTTGTTCAGTCATGTTTTTATCATGTGAGGAGTAGCTCTATGCAGGTTTTTCCTCCCTTGCCTTGATTTCAAGAAGGTCATAAATACTTTTATTTAATCTCAGTTAGATCAATGTAATTCATTGTGTTCAGGGTTGAGCCAAAAAACAATCTCACGCCTTCGGCAAGGACAAAATGCAGCTAACAAGAAGACAAGAGACAAGGTCTTCACAGCTTAGCAGTAGGTTTTAGAATTGATTTTAAGATTTTACTAATTACTTTGTGGTTTAACTGCTTCCCCAATGAGCCAGAGCGCAGCCTCAGATCCTCTTGCACGAATCTGCTGGTTGTTCCTAAGTCTTGCCTCAAGACTAAAGGGGACAGGGCCTTTACAATCCTCTATTACTACTGCGTACAGTTCTGACAAAGAGGGCCGTTACTTAATGTCATAGTCTAGAGACTAACTGAACACAATATTTTCAGTTCCACAAAAAGATGGATTTTTTGTGCTTTGTCTGTAGGGTTGTCTTCTTCTCTATGGGACTTATCTAGCAGGGCTTACAAGCAATGTCAGCCACCCTCCAGTCAACCAGTCTCCAACCATCATAACAGTCGTCACTTTGGTCACCCTCTCCTCGGCTGTGGCTGTTCCTGTATCCATCTTCCTGCAGGCCTGGCCCAACCTGGTCTACAGCACTGTCGCTGGAGCCATTTTCATCTGCACACTGGCTACAAACTGCCTGTTGTTTGTGCCTCAGGTAAGAATAAAACAACTCAAAATACACAAACAAGATGTATGAAAAAAAGTTTCTAGTTGCAAGTTTTGGAGAAAGTGCAGGATTTCTTCTTTAACCTTGGAAAAAATCTCTTTATTTCTGGTGATGACACTTTTGTAGTATCTCTCAAGCAGAACAACCACTATGGAGAGTGGGTTTACTTTTTAGACAGGACTGTCATCAAATCATTGGACTCTGTCTGGAAACCAGCATTAAAAACAGTCAACCAGACAGGCAGAAACTGTAGGTACAGAGATGTATGACAGACAGACACATGAATGAGAGATGCTTGAATGACTCTCTTTTTGTTTTGACAAAAGTAGTAAATTCTATGAGTGATTGTGGTGCCCACACTTCTATTTTCCATATGCGTATCAGTTTGCCATGTCTATCAGTGGAGTGTGACTCATACAGAAGGTGTTTATGACTCAAAATTACGTAGGCTGTTGCAAACAGGTTTATGACTCTCCAAGTGTCTGGCAGTGGGTTTATGTTACAAAAAAGGAATGCGTCTCCAGTGGAAAGTGGGGATATATTTGAACAGTGAGCAATACGTTCAAATACACCTGGTCAGAAGATCCTGTGTCAAACGGTCCCGGTAACATTTACTACTAGGGTGGGTAAGGTGTCTTCAGCTGAAACTTGGTGTAATGTATTGTGCATTTATTTTACACTCGCCACCATTCAGCTGACCCAGTGGCGGCAGTTTGAAGAGGATCAGAACAACCCAAGTCAGATGGCCAAGTATTTCAGCAGCCCCAGTAAGAGCCAGCCCTCGGTGTACAGCCAGGATGAGATCTACTACCTGCTGGGGGAGAACAGCTCCATGAAAAAACTCATTAATGAGGTACTGCATTGTTTTTTTCACAAATTCTACCATTCAATAAGAAAATATATTAATTAGAATTTATGTGAACACAGGACTTCTCATAATGTTATGGTGCAGACCTGTGTTTTACCCTTCTCCTTAATGTTATTCCTGAATAGTTAGCAATAACAGAGCTTGTTTTTTTTTACTTTTAGCCTTCTGCTAAAACAGTTTTTTTAATTGATTAAAACTAAGTAAATAACATAATTGCATATCCACATGTGAGTAGAAAAATTTCACATTTATACTGCTTTAACAAATAATGAATATGCTTTGGGTATATTTTTGGATTTATCAAAGCTTTCGACACTGTGGATTTTTTTGCTTATCAAGTTATATTATGGCTTCAATGGACTGACCTACTCTTGTATTACTAATTGGAAACTATTTTTACTTGTTGTGTTCCATGAGAGTTAGGGTGAGGGTTATTGGACACCTTTTATTCCTTATCTACATAAATTACTTGGTCACTGAATCTCATGTATTATACACAAAAACAATTTACAGCAGTCTCAAGGGCAGGCATACTGAATCGCACATTAATCTGGAGTCCAACTAAACAAAGAAATAATGTTTCAAAATTAGGTGATAAGGACTGTACAGGTGGAAATACACAATATACAGAACTATAAACACACATATGTATTACAAGAAAGGTTTAGCTGAAACAAGACAGATCTAGTTTCTCATTAACTAATTGACACCAGCTGTTTGACAATATGTTGACAACCTTCTCCCAGAACTTCCCTTCCATATTTCTGTTGATTTAAATCATCAAAAGGCAATAGATTGCTGTGTCTAAACTATTTTAATCATTTATTTTTCTAACATTTTCTATGTATGTCTCAAAATATCTAAGCTTCTGTTTTTGATGACAATTTTCAGAAGAACGCTGTCATCGACAGTCTGCAGGAGCAGGTGAGCAACGCCAAGGACAAACTCCTGCGACTCATGTCAGCCAGCCAGCCGGCCCCCGAGGACCAGGACATGGACTCCTCCAACACCAACCTCAACTCCTCCAGCACTCAGACCACAGAGCTTCAGTCTGACGGTCTCTCTTATTCTTCTCTACCTCAGAGAGACACTAAATCCCAATTTTTACCAAATCTCTCCCCTCACCTTACTGCTGCTGCTGCTGCTGCTTCATCATCTGCCGTTACACTGTCCTCTGAGCCAACCTCTGCTCCAAACTCCTCAACCACTAACGCTGTTTCACCTCCTCTCCCCGATGATATTTATGCAGGTGAAAACCAGAGAGGTGTCTCTAACGCTGGCCCTAGGGACACAGCTGAGTCCATAACAGGGGAGGACCACAAACAGCCCTTGTCCCCCCAGTCCCATGGCTTGCTCAGGACAGCAGAAGAGACAGTTCACTTTGTTACTTCCATACAATCCCGTAGACGGTTAAATCCCTCTGAAGTTGAAACTTTCAACAATCAGAGAGGCCTAACATCCCATCTGGGACCAAATGCCAGACCGACTGGATTTGTTAGCAGCGAGCAGTTGCAGGAGATCCTCCAGGAGCTGAGTTTGGATGCAGTCATGGAAACCACGCTTCGATCTCCCGGTCAGACGTCCAGAACGCCTTCTCAGCTAAAATTTAGTGAAGTCTCCGCACTTTCCCCTCTCTCCCTGCGGACACCACACTCCCCTCATCCACCCGTTCTCTTCCGCTACCCCAGCATCTCCCCTTATACGATGAGGAAACGTCGGCCGCCCTTTCACTCCTCCAGAAGAGGTTTGGCCTGCTTCTACACAGGTTCAGCGGCCGCCGGTTGTGGGAGAATAAGGGACAAATGTGAACACCAAAATGCAGGCAGGGGTCCAGATGGGGTCATTGTGGATGGTACCCTACTCCAAGGTCACAACACTGACCTTGAGCTGGGGGAGGAGGAGGATGCGGAAGGGAATGAAGTGATAAGAAAATGTCGGAGGTGTGTTTCAAGGTCCCACAGACGTTCAGTCTTGCCCTGTGCAGAACACAATCACACAGCTCCACCTGACGTGGGAGCTGGTGGTGACAATGAGAAGCGCCACAGACACATTAGGGACTCCTGTGGGTCCTGGGACTCTGATTCTAGCAGCTCAACAGACTACTGTTACTACCACCGTCCCTACTGTGACTCCTGTCTGCAACAAGGCTCTCTCCTGTCCTCAGACAGCTCCTCAGACTCCTCTGACAGCGAGTACGAAGGCTACACCAGCATGTACCGCTCCCCACACCCTGTGGTATTCAAAGAAGACATCAAACCCACCTTTGTATGAGCACAGGTTTACCGCACTTTACATGTTCATCCATTTCCACCACTTGTATTCATGTCCTAAGAAATACAGTCCAGTTAGCTGTGAGGATAAAGCAGGCACAGACTTGACTGCGCTTGAAGCTAATGTGCATCTACAATGGGAGATAATTTGACTGTAGCCTTCAATAGGAATGTGTTTTGCATTCTGCCTCAAAAGACCATTAGTATTCTTGAATTTTGAATTGTGGGACGGAGTGTGTCTTTTATTCGTGAGACTATTAGACTTGTGAAAACTTTTGTAGCTCAGAAACACAATGCAGTTTCCTTTTTGATATTACTTATGACATTATTTGTATGTTTCTGCTGTCAGAATTGTGCAAATGCTGTATTTATTTTATTATTTATTAGTGGATGTTTTGTTGTACAGAATTACTTTCTGTCTCCTTTATACTGTTATATATTGTCAAAAACATTCCTTAAAATGTTGCTCTTCCATTTTATTGTATGTCTGCATTTTGTTGTGTTTGAGTTTGTTTAAATCTCCTACATAGTGTAGACAATGCTCTTTATTTGTTGTCAGATGCTTCCAGTTTAAAGCCGGATTATGAGACACCACGCACACACTGCCAGAGCAGCTCACTGCTGTCACTTTTACTACTCTTGATTTTTTTATTGAGAGTATTTAATGTGCAAAGGTCATGGTTATCTGGAGTGTATGTCATTTGTGAGTGTGAGTGTGCCCTGCTGCCCTTTGATTTTTTGTTTTTCAAAAGAAAATCCACACCACGAAGTGGTCCACAACCACTTTGTGTTCATTCTGCATCTTCTCCTGTTTCATACTGTAAAGCACCACATGAACAGCCAGACAGAAGGTGTATAAACCACTGGCTTGATGTAGGCCTGGATTAACCTACTAGGGGGCCACTGGGCAAAAATTAGCCCCTATTAAGCCTCCACACTCACATACCCCCGGTGTGTGCAGAGAGTGCTGCAAACTAACCAGTATTTATATCCTAAAACACTATCTGGCCCCAAGTTTTATCTGTATGTCAGTTAGTTTGTTATGATTTTGGATATTCGGCATGTAATCATAATACTAACTCAAATATTAAAAGTAGATTTTGACACAGGTTTTACTTTCTTTCAGTTTTTAATTGTATTTTAGTTGTGCATAATGCCATCTAAATGTGGTACTTGCATATTGCTACTTTATGGGGCAATTGACCACTTTTGCCTGACATCTTCCCAGAATTAGAATAATTTCCAGCTTCCATGTCATGTGACTTTAATCATGACTAGAAGAGATAGTTGAGTATATTCAGGAGTATTTCACCACATTCCTGCAACACAGACAAAAACACTGTACACTCTCCTCCTTTTTTATGCTTCTCTTTCCTGTCTTGGCCTCTCTCTCCCTCTCTCCCACTCTCTCTCTCCCACTATCTCGTCTCTGTGTATATTTTTTCTTCTGCTAATGGGAAAATGTGTGTTTGCCGGAGGAGGTGTTGCTATATGAAGGGAAAAAACAGTGTCTCACATTACTTCTGCTCTGCTGCCTGCTTTTGGATGCTTCTGCTCTCTGTTCTGCATATGGACCATGGAGGGGCAGCCTGGGAGAAATTCCCTTTGATATAGAGCATAGCAGAGTATAAATAAACCACACAAAAGACAGAATACCAGCATCACTCTGCAGGAGGAAAGACTCTTCTGCATAGCCAAGACAAGTGACCTGCATTCTGTTCAAGCTGGAAATTACTGACATATTGAGGAATTCTGCATTAAAAATAGTTGTCAGTTAATCATACATATATTTATTTCTCAAAATAACACATTAGTCCATGGCTATCCACTACATCCTTAAACCTTTATCAGAAAATAAATAACAGACGGAGATTAGTTCTGCAGGCCTCACCTCAAGTGGTTTTAGGTCACTGGAGAAGCATAAAGGATAGCACTTTCTAATAAGTAATCTTTTATAATGGGGTTAAAAGTTGTAACTAATGGCTTTATTAATGGTTAATAAATCATTTACTAATACTTTGTTGTTCAGTTAAACATTTTTGGGTTGCCAGATTGTGAAAAATCCTTTGACTAATTGTACAGTATAACCACCTCGCAAAAACGGCTGCAGAGGATGTGGACCAGACAACTTTGCTATTAACAAAACAACAAAATGGGTTTTTACAACATTGCGACCCAAAATGTGTTAGTACCTACAATCAAGGTTCAGCTTTATTGTCACACAATACAGGAATGGACAGTGAAATAATGCCATGATACACACACATAACGTGCAAATAACTCAAAGATATTACGTAAAAATAAAAAATAGAACAAGGTAGTTTAATTAAAAAAAACACTCCGGTAGCACCAAAAAGAAGAATGTGCTCTTTAGTTTACAAAGGAAATGTATATAGCCTATACAATGTATATACATGTATGTATATATACAATATGTACAGTATAACTGTATTATATCACTAGAAGTTGGTAGTAGTGGGGCTGATGGTAGTGCAAAGGGAGTGATATGGTGATGTGCATACACTTAAAGAGGGGAAAAACAAAGCATAAGCATAAATGATTTATTTAGCCTACCATTAATAAAGCAATTAGTCACAACATATAAATCCTTTATAACCTTTCTAGAAAGTATAAGGCTACCATATAAGGATAGAGGTGAAAATAACCTGAATGAAGTGTTGCCATGACAAGGCAGCCATGCACACACACACACACACACACACACACACACACACAATTACTAAGCATTATGACAGTAGTTAAATGTATGTGCCAGAGGGCTGAGCGTATGAAAAGGTGTGGAAGAGAAACGAGAGGATGGGCTTTTGTGACTAACATGGCAACAGTGCTGCATGACCACCGGTGCTCCGTGACAGCTGGGTCCGTTTGAACTGACAGTCGGATGCAGGACCCCCATTGGCCGACATACTCATCAATCCTGGGAGGCGGACCCGCCCATTGTCCCTGTCGCGGCATGGGGAAAAGCCTTTGAAGTCGCGAGGGCGGTGCCAGGCAAATTATGCCATGTGGTGCTCAAGAGCGCCGCTCTCATTGGACCAGAAGCGCCCGGTCAACGCCCATTTCTGAAGGATACCCTCTGTGATTGGCTAACTCGGCCACCCCAGATTCGCCGTTTACGCGTTCACAGTTTTCCTATTCTCCCTCGCGGGTTACGTCGACGGCGTGAACCTCGCTCCCCGACCGCGAGCCATCCTTGTAACCCTTTACGGAAACTGCGCAGCTAGCGTGCGCAGCGACAAAGACAGCGAGCCCGAAACCTATGGGGAAGGAATAAAAAAAGAGATTCAGTACCGTCGCACTCTGAGCTTAAAGACCGTCGTTTCCCGGAGAGGTCGCTGCCCCGGGGGCCTCGGTAGACACACCGCAATCTGACGGCGACGAGGGCGGATCTCGAGTCACCGCAAAGCCCCTGAATTTGGTTGAAGAAGACTGTGGCAGCTGGCAGATTTTCCGTCAGACGGTCTGTAGGCTAGGGTATAGCGAGGGAGCCGCCATGGCAGTCGGATCATTGAGCCTCCACATCGGGATATGAAGAGGAAACTGCATGTGTCCCGAATTGTCAAGAAAAACGCCTCATTTCCATTTGATCCGCACCGGATCGCCACTCTTTAACACCTGATCTCACCCTTCTTCATCTGTGTGAGATCGATTCCGCATCCACAAAGAAATAGCATTTGGTTTTTTAACCGGGGGGCCACAGGGAGAGGCCAGATTCATGACTATTTTAGTCGGTGTCTTCAAAGCCCCGCTAAAAGAAAAAGAAAACCTGGAATATAAAGGAGTCGATGATGCTGTGATTTGACTGCTGCTGGGAAAAGAGAGGCTCGTTTTTTATTAGGCGATACGAACCAGAGTGAAGGNNGGGGGGGGGGGGGGATCCGCTCTCTGCCTGTCTTTTTCCTGTGTGAATTATAGTAATATTCATTTACTGTCATCCTTTTGTGGATGAGAAGGTTCGGCCCCGCCGTTTAGACAGCCACAGTCTCCCCAAGTCGAGAGAGAGTCAAGAGGGATCCGGATCATGTCGGGTCGGCCCAGGACCACATCCTTCGCGGAGAGCTGCAAACCAGTGCCGCAGCCCTCGGCTTTCGGCAGCATGAAAGTCAGCAGTAAGTACCCCCCCCCTTCTATAATTCTAAGGGTAGCTACCTTTCCTCTGGCTGCACAGCCCACTGTGGCTAACAATGCGCGCTATGTCTCCTTCTCTAAACCGGACTGCAATGTTTGAAGCGGAGCAACGAACGTTAAGCTTTTTGGATAGCTTAGCCCTTGCATATATTCTTGTGTCACTGCTGGATTGGCCGATGAGAGCAGGCACAACACACACACCACACACACAACACACAAGACCCACCACACCGCTGCCGGGCTCTGACGCGCGCCCCGACGGGTCAGCCTGACCAGCAGGCGCGCGCGCCGGGCCGGGCCGGGCCGGGCCGGCCGGGCCAGAGGGAAGGTAGTTGTTGGCCCGCCGTCCAGGGGTCAGAAACCAACGGCTTCCTTTACGGCCAAGATTTCCGGTTGTTGTTATTGTATTTCGGTTGCAAAGATAGGCTCACAAGCGGGCGTTGCTACCATAGCAGGAACCGTATGCTACGGAAGTTAAAGCGATAAGGGCCGGTCTTACGCAAATGTCAGGAGCGGGGAAGGTGCGCCCATAGTGCTTACTCGGGCGAAAAACTGTAGACGGTTTGATTTCCTGGAGAAGGCTTGGCGTTCACTGATTCAATGTAGCCTGTGCCGTGTCGAAGTTCAGGCGTCGCGATAGTGTGTGAGACATTCCTGCGTCATTAAGTGGCACCGCGCCGGAGCTAGGTTTTTAGACGGGTCTTGGCAGTGGGAGGGAAGCCACATGGACCTTTCTGGGCCTGAAACGTAACCTGAGAAACCAGGGGAGCCTTGTCGGCTGCGCTGGTCCATGGGACTTTTTGTTTTCTGTTTAATATGGATCCTGCTAGTATGTCCAGGCCTGTCACACACACTCACCTTTCCATGGATGTTTCTTGTTAAATTCCTCTCAAACTTTGGCCATCTTAAGGGCATTTTTTATCTGTTGTGTTGTTGTTGTTGTTGTGTGTTTGTTAGTGAGGAAGAGAGAGAGAAGAGAGAGATTACAATAGATTGCAGATACTTAACACGCTTCAAAAGGTTGATTAAAGTTTAAATGTGATATTCCAATATATTGAAACTAATGGACTGTCCTGCCTTGGAGACGTTCTTTACTGTAAGCTACACCTTTTTCTATCGTTGTGTGGTGAGTGTTGTGTGTGGTGTTGTTGTGTGTGTATGGAGCTTGTTAATAAGGCTGTTAAGGAATGTTGGTGGTGTTTCTGTTGCTGTGGATCGTGGACCATTGATGTTGTTGTCAGTGGGGTGAGGCCTGGAGGCTTTTTTGAGGCTCTTTTTTCTTTTCTGGGCTTGGGCCCACTAAGGGGAAAACCAACTTCAGTGGACAGGGACACACCCACAATTGCGCCGCCCACACCACACCCCAACAGGGATATTTCACTTCTCATTTTCCCAAAATCTGAATTACTTTTTCTCTTTTGCCCCAGATTCATGGGTTGTTTTATGGCAATTGGTGGTTTCCTAAAATCAAGTGTGGTAACCGGTTTCATGTTATGTTTGCTGTCAAATGGGAAATTTTGCTGTGGGCAGTGTAAGTTTTTAATTTGGCAAATTTGTTAAGATTTAAAAGGAGGGACTTCAGGTTCTTGGCCCAATTGGTGTTTCCCAAGGAAATTTAAAAGTTGCTGAAATTAAAGCAACCAATATGCGAGGCTTTTTGAACCTTGCGTATTTAAAACATGAAATAGGTTTACCAACCAGTGGTTTTTGCTTTTGTGGTTTTCTTCAACCCTTGGAAAATATATTCTTCTTTTCCAAAGAGGACTCATTTTTTTTTTCTGGTAAGTCAAATACATCATTAAATTTTTCATTTCATTAAAAGTCTGAAACGGAAGTCGCCCAAATTAAATTTTGGTGTTTTAATAAATTACTTTCTACGCGGAGCAGGTTTGGTTTGGGGGTTCGGCCCCGTAGGGGGAAGGTACTTTGCTTGTTGCGATCCCTGTGATGATCATGTCAATACGTTTGAATGTAATGATTTCATTCGCCAAAACCTGTAATTTTTTTACAAACAAGGAGCTTTAAAGGACCAAGGGGGCTAGAACTGGTTTCAAACTGTTGGTTTTGTGTGTTCTTTACTTTTGGGATCTTTTTTCTTTACTACCTTATGGGTTTGGCAACAATTAGGCGGAAAAAAAAATAAAATTTACGAAAAATCGCAAAATGTTAATTACAAAGAACGCTGAACTTTTTTGCTTGGAGGTAAAAAAGATTTTCTTGTGACAAGAAACAAGATCTATTAATTTGAATTTAACCTGGCAGTTTTTCTTGAGAGGATGCCCTGGCTATAAAATGTTGTTTCGGGCGAAAGGCAAAACCCTCGAAAACATATTATGAATTTAAATTGAAAATAATTTAAAAAAATCTTTAATGGCTTATCGATACAAAATTATGATTGTTTGCTGTAACTTTCAAACGTTTGTCCTTTCCTGGTTCTTAAAGGCTTTAAAAGGTTCACAATAAAAAATAAAGCAGTTTTTGGGGCCCAATTATTCCGAAGTTTAAAACGGACCAGCGGAAACCTTCGTTGGCAATCACAAATCCATAGTTACTTTATTTAGACTTCAAGACTATTTTAAACAGTGTGTGATCATTCCACAATTTGGGTTTAAACGCAAACAGAAAAGCAACTGATTATTAAAACCACGTTTGTAAAATTTCTTCATTATCGGCTGTCGAAAGTACTTCATTTCCAATTGTTCGTGTGACCTGATTTTTGTTTTTGAGGGATGCTTGTTCCCAGCTCAAAATGTTAGGCCTTGCAAAGTTTTTAAGGCATTTCTTTATTTTTTATTAAAATCTTGCAGAATATATTTTTATCAATTAATAAAATAATGGGTTTGGGTCACTGTCTTATTATTTAAAAGTTTCCAATTGAAAACCAGACATTTTATTGAAAAACAATTTATTTGGGACTTAATGAGTTAAAAGTAATTTTTTTTGTAAAAAAAAAAAAAAACAAATCCTATCGTTTTCTTTTTACTTGTAAAACCATTAAATCAATTTTTGTTCATTTATAAGGTAAACAAATCAGGCCACTGTAAAGCTGTGTCCAGGGGAATTTTTACTTTGGATACTTGAAGGTTTAGTATAAACCCACATGGTCACCTGACTTTTGTTTGTTCTCTTTTTCTTTTGTCCAGTATTGGCAAATCTAACCCTCCAACCATTCAACAAAACACCAACACACATCCTTACTCCTACCCATGCCCCAATCTCCCTAACCATCATCCCTTAAGCACCAACAAATTAAAGAACCACACCACACACACACAACAACAATCTCCACAATCACTTAATAAACAACCACCACCACAGATGCTAGGACACACTGTTTCGCACCTCCTGTCCCTGGCTGGGTGTGTCACTCTCTGTGTGTGTGTCTAGAATAGTATGTGGCTGATGATCCATCTTTTAGTCAGATTTTTCGAAGCAGGCTGTTTTGCAGTTGTGTTACTATGGTTTGCGAAGAGGAAGCATGCACTAATTAACCCCCTCCTACACAAACGAAACACACAATACACAGGCATATAACAACAACATAACCTCGAGCTAGCTTCGCTTCCTGTGTTATTTTATGGGCCGATGATATGGCTGCATGGGTGCCTTGATACTCTGGGCTCTGGCGCCAGCTCTCGCTCTCTCTCTACGATGTGCTTTCCAATAAAAGTTGCGGGTCAGTGTCCTCGCTTCTTCTTTTCTTTGTCTTTTCTTTTCTTTATACTACACACACCATCTATATATATACAATAACAATAGATCCATCTCTTCCCTTACTCTTTGTCAGGTGCTTGTACTGAATGGCCACATCAATACTAACTGAAAACATGGATCAAAAAACATTAATTGGTGTGTGTGTAGGCTCCTTCATTGATTTTTCTCCTCTCAAACAAGCAGATGGGAATAGACATATTCAATAAAGAGGCTCTGCATTGGGCGGTGTACAGGAATATAAACCAGTACTGTGTACCGCTACATATACAAGGGAGATTCTTCCAAACTTTGGGATTAATATTTTATAGAATGGGTGGGAGAAAGGAGCTGAGTCTATTGTAGTATACGGAACGAACATATATTGAAGCAAAGTAGAAAATCACAATTATCAGATCCAAATAATATGTGGGGTTTATACAGATATGGAGACTGCATAGTCGGAGAGAGACAGTATGTACACATGTCTCAGGGTTTACTTTTGTGGGAAATCAAAATACAGTTATTCGTTTAATAGACATAAGCGCTACCTATTGTGAGCGCAAAAGTTTGGAACTCCAACGACTTGTCTTGAAATTTTCCTATGACGCGCTCGTGTGCTTAGACCAATCATCATATGTGCATTATATCTTGTTGCTTCTAGCGGTGTGCCATTTAGATAGGATCTGGAATTGTTCTCCGGAATGTGTATTTCAATCTTCCCATGTTATTGTCATCACTGTATAAATTGTGCACTGCTTCCGCACCACAAAAAACAAACCCAGCCAGGGTCCAAAATGGGGAAGCTTGTCCATCTGTTTATAGTTCTCTTCTAAGGTAAACATAGCTAGCTTGTTAGTTCCACAAATCATGTCTTCTCTATTTTTACAAACCTCATGCGTAAAGTTCTTGTTCCTGTAATAAAAATGATCCATCCATAAGAAACCGCGGGCGTACCCGAGCGGCTCAGACCCTACTGCAAGCTTGAATTTGATCGAACAGTTACAGAATTGTGTTATAATTACTATAGTATTGATCGATTGTTTGTTGTTCATACGCGGGGGACTATACAACTGGACTTCACGCTGTCGGTGAAGGACCTACATAATATGTACGGCACACTGCTTTTTATATTATTCAAACGTTCCATTAGAAGCTAAATAGAGGTATGAGCATATAACGGGACTAGTTAATTGGTGAATTAGCGTAGTTAGTAATAATTCATTAGTGCGGGAAATTCTGCCCATAAGTTACTCGCATTTAGGATAAAGGCATGTGACGCTCTGATGTG